CAGTGAGTCCTCTGCTGAAATAAGTATGAGCACAAGCTCCAAAGCCTGACAGTTAATCGCTGCTTTAGTTACCCGATGAATGCATGTGGTCAGCATACTCACCTTTAGCATAACTCTGGTTCTTGCCTGTTAGCTTTCTGTTAGCATGCTTTCTTTGCAGGGGATTGCCAACAGCTACTGTCTTCTTCAAAGCAGCAGTTTTCTGGCTGCTTTGTTTTTTTATTTTTATTTCTGCAATGAAAAAATAAAAGTAATGTTCACATTTCCACTCCTCATAAACTGAAGGCTGCTCTCTCATTTTCAACCTCACTGCACGCAAATGGAAAGCAGCTGATTGTAACAGCGATTCTGTCTTGAGGATAATTAAAGAACTCATTGCAGGCAAAAAAAATAAGTTTGACTTGTGGCTGTAATGTGATTACTGTAATTATTTTTACTACATTATTGTGATACTTGTGTGATTTTCAGTATTGCAGAAAAAATTATATTTTTACTTTTTGGTAATGATGCATTTGCATTAAAGCTCCCCGTTCCTTCTTCTTATTGTATTTAAAGCTGTTGGCAGTAGAGAAAAGGTACCAAATTCTGTAGTTTTGTCATGAGGACAAAGTCTGACTGTGTTTAGTTTCACTGCAATCCATGCTGTACAGCAGGAGTGGACTAACTGACCAAACAAAAGAGTAATGTTTCTGTCCGTAGATCAAGGTTAAAAGCTTTAATAGGTACTTTGTCACACAGCTGTGGGACTGTGCTAACAAAATGAGGGCTTCGCCATCTCTAAAGGCAAATAGAAGGCTCATTAGCTCCTAAAAGCCTAAATGTATTGCACATGCACTCACATGCAAGCTGGAGATCAGCTTCTAGTTCAAAAGACACTGTGCCATGTACAGTGAATCAAAACAAGAATAATGAGCATGACATTACACACAAACAGTCTGTATCTATTAAATGTTAGAAAAGTGATTACGTTTTTCATATGTTAAATTGGCAACCTTGGGGAGATTTTTGTGTAAATTAGTTTAAGAACAAACATCAGCATTAAGATGAGCTGTGACTCTCTGAGTGAAGACGAACAGTATCAGAGGCCTGAAATTGAAAACTCCCATCAATCATTTTATAACCATCTGTAAACCGAATGTGCAACATTATCTACGTTTTTAACCACTTTCAGAGATGTCCTGATAAGTCTTGTATCTTCTTTGCTGCATTTGCACATTATCTCATCATCTCCCATATCAGAAACATCCTGTCTCAGAGTGATGCTAATAGACTAGTTCATGCATCTATTATTTCTAGAATGCAATAATTTATTATTATCGGGATATCCTAAAAACTCCATAAAACCTTCAGTTCATCCGACAGAGCACGTTGCTTTAAGACTGCTGGTTTATTTGTCGTTCTGAGGATATTTAACATTAGAATGGGAAGTCGGTCCTTCAGGTTTCAGGCTCCTCTTCAGTGGATCCAACTCCCAATTTGGATTTGGGACTGTTATTGTGATTTTAGTGCTTCATAAATAAAATCTGAATTCAACTAAACTGAACATAATCACATCCACAACACGTTGGGTGAGAGAAACAGGTAAAATGGATTTCATGTTCTAATCTTTGGCACAATGAAAATAAAATCAGTTTAACTGCTATAAATCAATAGTTTGTTGGTACATACAGGCAGGATTTACTCTAAATATAATAATAATAATAATAATGGATTGGATTTATATAGCGCTTTTCTAGGCACCCAAAGCGCTTTACAATACCACTATTCATTCACTCGCACATTCACACACTGGTGGAGGCAAGCTACAGTTGTAGCCACAGCTGCCCTGGGGCAGACTGACAGAAGCGAGGCTGCCATATGCGCCATCGGCCCCTCTGGCCAAAACCAAGTTTGGATTCTTTTTTTGGTTTGGATTGATTTTATGTAATTTTATCACCTCACTTTACATAAAAGCAGCAGTGTCCATGCTTCACCACCCCCCACACCCCCCCAACTCAAGCTCTCAATCAGATGGTCACGCAAAGCAAACGTAAGGAAACACTTTGTTACAGCAAAGCGAATCTACAAGGCAAAACAGGATTTTCACACTTCCTGTCAGTGTTTGATCTTACTTTTTGCAGTTGTAGAAACACAAAGATTTGATGATTTAAATTCTATTTAAATGTTTTCTACAGTTTATTTACTCTACAGCTTGCCTCTTTGTCTGCGTGCCTCAGATGCAAAACACCTCACACGTAAAGGAAATGAGATTCAGAGCTTCTTTTCATCTCTTTCGTGTTTTGTGAAGTCTGTGGTTGGCTGCTGACTTTCCTGCTGGCAAACCACATCAACTGTGTGTCACCTATGTGCGTAAAAAAAAGTCTGACGTATTTTTTTTAAATTTTCTTTATAATCTGGTCATTGCAGCCATTCACCTTTAAAAGGTTTTAGCAAGAATGTTAATTTTAAAAGAAATATAAGAAGCCTGTTTACATGCTCTACAGCCATAAAAGTAACCAATCGTGTTGTATTAAGATCACGTGCACTTTTCTGCTGAACAGCTGCAAGTATGTTATCAGATTAGTAGCCAACTTTCAATTTAACACTTTTACTAATGAAAATGTATAAACAAAATGGTTTTCTGAACAAAAAGGCAATTCTCTGAAAAATACCAGTAAAACAGGTAAATTGAAAGAAAACATCTGTGCAGATGTTTTGGATGGATGGTAACAAAAACACTTCTCAGATTGTTTTCAGATTCTCAGATGAATTCTAAAACTATGTTTTGCTTGACTTGATTTTGCTCATTATTTAAACTAAGATAAGCTGTCTATCTGTCAGGGTATGGAGAAGAAAGGACCTAATGTGAGAAACAGGCCGTTTCAAGCTGTTTCTAGGAATGAGAAAAAACATAAAGGAAAAAGGCCACAAACCAAAAAATGAATCCAAACACACACATAGTAATTCACAAATGTCTTGACAAAGGGCAAAGGGAAGAAGATATAAAATATGAAACTGAAATAGTAAACAAGAATAAACTAACACGGGGGGAGGCATAACAGGACAACAGATAAGCCCAGTGACAGAGTAAAGACAGAAAACAAAAACATGCAGAAGTTAAAGTCCCTGTCTAAACAGATCGTGTTAAACGGGAACCAAACCAGAGAATCGCAGTCATTCCCAAGAAAACCACAAAGTTAAAACTGGAATCAATGACATGAAAAGAAATATAACTCACTGTTAAAATAACCAAGAAATCAACAAGTTTGACAAACACAAAAAATCTAAACACTAATGACTATAACGGTATCTCATGTAGCAACATAATCTCACAGCACGGTTCTTTCTGACCGTACTTGCTGGCACACTGTTACACTATATATTAAATATTAATGAGTGTGAATTCTTTAAAGCACTGGTAGAAATCTGTGGTTTGTTAAGCATTTGTATCTGCTGTCCTTCACAGATTGATGACACACTTCCTCAGTCACATTATCTCTTGGGTTTAAAAAGGTCAGATGACGCCTCCTCTGATCTCGGCCATCTTGGCTGCTATGTGAACAACTGAGCCTTTGCGCTTTTTGGTTTGTCCTGCAGACCAACTTTTTTTTAACCCACAGTAACCCATATTTCAGACAGCCCAGCCAATTCAAAAACAAGTCTTACACAGTCCTGTCACATTTTAATCTAATAATTTAGCTTCATTAATTCTATTTTTTTTTTTTTTCCGGTTTTTTAGTTTAGTCTCAGTGAGACGGGTTCACTGAGAGGACTTCATCACTTGCAGTCCACTCACTCTTTCACAAAGCCTGACAGTTAATCGCTGCTTTAGTTACCCGATGAATGCATGTGGTCAGCATACTCACCTTTAGCATAACTCTGGTTCTTGCCTGTTAGCCTTCTGTTAGCATGCTTTCTTTGCAGGGGATTGCCAACAGCTACTGTCTTGTTCAAAGCAGCAGTTTTCTGGCTGCTTTGTTTTTTTATTTTTATTTCTGCAATGAAAAAATAAAAGTAATGTTCACATTTCTACTCCTCATAAACTGAAGGCTGCTCTCTCATTTTCTGCCTCACTGCACGCAAATGGAAAGCAGCTGATTGTTACAGCGATTCTGTCTTGAGGATAATTAAAGAACTCATTGCAGGCAAAAAAAATAAGTTTGACTTGTGGCTGTAATGTGATTACTGTAATTATTTTGTCCACTATCTTTTAATAACCTGTAAGTCACTGAAGTTCTTTGTTTTACTGCTGACCTGTTTCATTAATTTCGCCTGTGCTAAATCAACATTGTTTGCACACAATCAGAGGATCAGTTTAATGGCATTCTCTGTCTGCTGGACAACTGCAGGATCATGCATTTTTCTCTTTATACTTCTTGTCAATAAAGGTTGAGGTTTAAGTTCACTGTCTATTGTAATATGTGGCACTTTCCCCATACTCAGTGTTCCACAGCTTTTTATGTATATCAGTCATGTTACTTAAGCTTGGTTACATTTTCATTTTGATACAAATTCTTTTACTTTCTTTTTTTGTGTGTGTTTTTATTATTTCTTCAAAGGAGTGAGTTACATCAGCCACATCTGTGGTCTCCTCAGTTTCTGTCGTGACGTTCTATTACGGGATGACTATTCAAGGCCAAATAGCCCCCTGTTTCCTGGAAACAGCTGTAACCTCATGACGACATGGAGGCTGCGGTTCAGTTTAATAAATTGCTACTCTAAAATCTGGGCATACATTTAATGGAAATCAGCAAAAAAAATAAAAAATTAAAAAAGTGAGACGGCTCCAACATGCATGACAATGCGAGAATCCCTCTGCTGTAACTACGCAGTCAGCGACTCCATTTGAATAAATGCTATGCTGAAGAAGAAAGCAATCGCTCTAAAGTCTGATTAATTTGTTGGTCTTTCAGTGTCTGTGCTTTTGGATCTGTGTGTGTGTTTGACAAACAGAGAGGCGATGTGAGGGTGGGTTTGTGTGGAAAAAGAGAAGCAGCTATATGAGGAAAGGAAGACAAAGCTAGACACATGACAGTAACACAGAGAGGAAGTCTGCGTGTGATAGACATGATACAAAGAGAACCACTTGAAGTAACTGCGACACAGATAACAGAGCACACATCTTCACTTCTGCCTCTGACCACAACGACTGAAGCTCACCTCAGCTCTGAGAGATCAGTCCAGTAACTGCAGGTAAGGACTCTGAACTTTGTCTGGATTTGTCAGATGACATTGTTACTTGATATTTCCCACTTATGACCAAAAGTTTTACATGTATTGTGGAGTTTTTACACACTTTGTGTTTTCTTACATCATCCAACTTTTTAAAAAGAAAAAACAGGTAGGGTTTCCTTATATAATTCCTTAAGAGTTTGAGCTGTATATATTTGATTGAACTTACAATAGGGTGGTGGTTGTAATTGATACTAGACTAAAAAGGGGAAATATGTTATGATAATCTAAAGACTACACTCATAAAGAAAATGATTAAAGATTTGATGCATTAGATGCTACAGGTTCAGTAGGCAGAACAATTTGAACATTTATCAACACATCCATTCATTTTATTAACCACTAATTCAGTGCAGGGTTGGGGAGGTAACCTACCTCAGCTGACAATGAGGGAAAGGTGGGGTACTCAGCAGTCTATCACAGGGACAACACAAATACATAAACATTCACACTGACAATCAATTTCTAATTATCAGTTGATCTAATGTATATGTCTTTAGACTGTGGGAGGGTGATAGAGCACCTGGAAAAAAAGAACGCGCATTACAAATACTTCAGAACTACCAACACCACAAACACAGTTAGTGACCCAGATTAGAGGAGGCTGTAAATCAGGTGTGAGCAATTCGTTTTCCCCAGAGGTCAAATGACAAATTGGGGCTGTTGTGGAGGCATGCTTTAGATAATATGCCAATTTTATAAGCCGTGCAAGAATTATGGTAAATACTGGTGTTTCAAACATAACATGCAGAAACAGCAGCTGGATTTCTAGTTATTGCACAATGTTTTTGTGCATGGACAGTACCTTTTATGAAATTTCACTATGACAGTTTTTTTTACATACAGGATACTATTAGAAAAGGCTACCACAAAAGACATCTAAGATTATGTCCACATATTACATATGTGTAATTGTGACCTCTACAAACCACACATTCAGGTTCCCTATATGTTAAATTTAAACACAGAGACACAGGGCAGAAAGTTCCCCTCTTTTTGTTAAAGATATAAGCTGCTCAAAATATCTGTTGTCTGTTTCTGTGATAATGTCAAAATAATTCAGTACTGTAAATGCATTATTGTATGCATTTACATACATGATCACATTGATGATCACATTGTTGTGTGATCATCAAATAAAAGATGGCATACAATTTCACTTCCTTGTAATTAACATATATTTGAAATAAATTGATTCTACACATTTGATCTATCAGTTACTTCTGTAGCACCCGTGAAAGCGAATAATTATCAGGTAACAAGATACCTCAAGGCTACAGTCCCACACACTGGAACAAATCCCTGTCATAATGAATGCACAAGCATATTTGTGTGTGTGTGTGTAAGTATGACCACAAAAGAACACAAAGCCAACAGCGAAGCTGAAAGCCAGCACTAGGGGAGCTTCATTCAGTGAGTCCTCTGCTGAAATAAGTATGAGCACAAGCTCCAAAGCCTGACAGTTAATCGCTGCTTTAGTTACCCGATGAATGCATGTGGTCAGCATACTCACCTTTAGCATAACTCTGGTTCTTGCCTGTTAGCTTTCTGTTAGCATGCTTTCTTTGCAGGGGATTGCCAACAGCTACTGTCTTCTTCAAAGCAGCAGTTTTCTGGCTGCTTTGTTTTTTTATTTTTATTTCTGCAATGAAAAAATAAAAGTAATGTTCACATTTCCACTCCTCATAAACTGAAGGCTGCTCTCTCATTTTCAACCTCACTGCACGCAAATGGAAAGCAGCTGATTGTAACAGCGATTCTGTCTTGAGGATAATTAAAGAACTCATTGCAGGCAAAAAAAATAAGTTTGACTTGTGGCTGTAATGTGATTACTGTAATTATTTTTACTACATTATTGTGATACTTGTGTGATTTTCAGTATTGCAGAAAAAATTATATTTTTACTTTTTGGTAATGATGCATTTGCATTAAAGCTCCCCGTTCCTTCTTCTTATTGTATTTAAAGCTGTTGGCAGTAGAGAAAAGGTACCAAATTCTGTAGTTTTGTCATGAGGACAAAGTCTGACTGTGTTTAGTTTCACTGCAATCCATGCTGTACAGCAGGAGTGGACTAACTGACCAAACAAAAGAGTAATGTTTCTGTCCGTAGATCAAGGTTAAAAGCTTTAATAGGTACTTTGTCACACAGCTGTGGGACTGTGCTAACAAAATGAGGGCTTCGCCATCTCTAAAGGCAAATAGAAGGCTCATTAGCTCCTAAAAGCCTAAATGTATTGCACATGCACTCACATGCAAGCTGGAGATCAGCTTCTAGTTCAAAAGACACTGTGCCATGTACAGTGAATCAAAACAAGAATAATGAGCATGACATTACACACAAACAGTCTGTATCTATTAAATGTTAGAAAAGTGATTACGTTTTTCATATGTTAAATTGGCAACCTTGGGGAGATTTTTGTGTAAATTAGTTTAAGAACAAACATCAGCATTAAGATGAGCTGTGACTCTCTGAGTGAAGACGAACAGTATCAGAGGCCTGAAATTGAAAACTCCCATCAATCATTTTATAACCATCTGTAAACCGAATGTGCAACATTATCTACGTTTTTAACCACTTTCAGAGATGTCCTGATAAGTCTTGTATCTTCTTTGCTGCATTTGCACATTATCTCATCATCTCCCATATCAGAAACATCCTGTCTCAGAGTGATGCTAATAGACTAGTTCATGCATCTATTATTTCTAGAATGCAATAATTTATTATTATCGGGATATCCTAAAAACTCCATAAAACCTTCAGTTCATCCGGTAGAGCACGTTGCTTTAAGACTGCTGGTTTATTTGTCGTTCTGAGGATATTTAACATTAGAATGGGAAGTCGGTCCTTCAGGTTTCAGGCTCCTCTTCAGTGGATCCAACTCCCAGTTTGGATTTGGGACTGTTATTGTGATTTTAGTGCTTCATAAATAAAATCTGAATTCAACTAAACTGAACATAATCACATCCACAACACGTTGGGTGAGAGAAACAGGTCAAATGGATTTCATGTTCTAATCTTTGGCACAATGAAAATAAAATCAGTTTAACTGCTATAAATCAATAAAAACCTGTTGGTACATACAGGCAGGATTTACTCTAAATATAAGCATGGACACTGCTGCTTTTATGTAAAGTGAGGTGATAAAATTACATAAAATCAATCCAAACCAAAAAAAGAATCCAAACTTGGTTTTGGCCAGAGGGGCCGATGGCGCATATGGCAGCCTCGCTTCTGTCAGTCTGCCCCAGGGCAGCTGTGGCTACAACTGTAGCTTGCCTCCACCAGTGTGTGAATGTGCGAGTGAATGAATAGTGGTATTGTAAAGCGCTTTGGGTGCCTAGAAAAGCGCTATATAAATCCAATCCATTATTATTATTATTATTATATTTAGAGTAAATCCTGCCTGTATGTACCAACAAACTATTGATTTATAGCAGTTAAACTGATTTTATTTTCATTGTGCCAAAGATTAGAACATGAAATCCATTTTACCTGTTTCTCTCACCCAACGTGTTGTGGATGTGATTATGTTCAGTTTAGTTGAATTCAGATTTTATTTATGAAGCACTAAAATCACAATAACAGTCCCAAATCCAAATTGGGAGTTGGATCCACTGAAGAGGAGCCTGAAACCTGAAGGACCGACTTCCCATTCTAATGTTAAATATCCTCAGAACGACAAATAAACCAGCAGTCTTAAAGCAACGTGCTCTGTCGGATGAACTGAAGGTTTTATGGAGTTTTTAGGATATCCCGATAATAATAAATTATTGCATTCTAGAAATAATAGATGCATGAACTAGTCTATTAGCATCACTCTGAGACAGGATGTTTCTGATATGGGAGATGATGAGATAATGTGCAAATGCAGCAAAGAAGATACAAGACTTATCAGGACATCTCTGAAAGTGGTTAAAAACGTAGATAATGTTGCACATTCGGTTTACAGATGGTTATAAAATGATTGATGGGAGTTTTCAATTTCAGGCCTCTGATACTGTTCGTCTTCACTCAGAGAGTCACAGCTCATCTTAATGCTGATGTTTGTTCTTAAACTAATTTACACAAAAATCTCCCCAAGGTTGCCAATTTAACATATGAAAAACGTAATCACTTTTCTAACATTTAATAGATACAGACTGTTTGTGTGTAATGTCATGCTCATTATTCTTGTTTTGATTCACTGTACATGGCACAGTGTCTTTTGAACTAGAAGCTGATCTCCAGCTTGCATGTGAGTGCATGTGCAATACATTTAGGCTTTTAGGAGCTAATGAGCCTTCTATTTGCCTTTAGAGATGGCGAAGCCCTCATTTTGTTAGCACAGTCCCACAGCTGTGTGACAAAGTACCTATTAAAGCTTTTAACCTTGATCTACGGACAGAAACATTACTCTTTTGTTTGGTCAGTTAGTCCACTCCTGCTGTACAGCATGGATTGCAGTGAAACTAAACACAGTCAGACTTTGTCCTCATGACAAAACTACAGAATTTGGTACCTTTTCTCTACTGCCAACAGCTTTAAATACAATAAGAAGAAGGAACGGGGAGCTTTAATGCAAATGCATCATTACCAAAAAGTAAAAATATAATTTTTTCTGCAATACTGAAAATCACACAAGTATCACAATAATGTAGTAAAAATAATTACAGTAATCACATTACAGCCACAAGTCAAACTTATTTTTTTTGCCTGCAATGAGTTCTTTAATTATCCTCAAGACAGAATCGCTGTTACAATCAGCTGCTTTCCATTTGCGTGCAGTGAGGTTGAAAATGAGAGAGCAGCCTTCAGTTTATGAGGAGTGGAAATGTGAACATTACTTTTATTTTTTCATTGCAGAAATAAAAATAAAAAAACAAAGCAGCCAGAAAACTGCTGCTTTGAAGAAGACAGTAGCTGTTGGCAATCCCCTGCAAAGAAAGCATGCTAACAGAAAGCTAACAGGCAAGAACCAGAG